ACATTAAAAATTCGCGAAGGCTGCTACAGGATGTGTGCGGGTGCGCGCGCATTTACTCGCTCACAAAATGATTTAATATGTAAATATGCTGGCTAGTAACTAGCGTGCTATGCTTCGTTTCAGTAACGCGATTTGTGCTGTTTGTTACTAGGAACGAATATTGTTATACAATAATGATGAACACGCTGTGATAAATATTTGACATCCGTTTTCTGTGCATTCTGAACGAAGAGGAAGTTGTGTGTCCCTCGCCATGTGTTGTCCATGCATGACAAGATACACTGTATAGGCAAGTCTTGTGTTCAGTCTGTTCTTACGTTTACTTACAGATTCTTGTTTTCATGATTACACCACTTGCATTTGCAACGAGGTTGTTCGAAGGTATTCTCTTTACAGATGTCTCCCAGCTAGGATTATTTCAATTAACATAATGGAACAAGATCCACTGTTATACACATAGAAATAATACACTACTCTCTACTTCTCTTCTTTCTTTCTAGTTTAGCGTCTCTATATATTTCTTACTTACACATTACTTGCTCTAATTTGAATTGTCTATGTGTGGCATCGCATTTGAATGTACATAATTATGCATAGTGATATTAGTTGTGATTGAGATGAATACAGAAATTGACGTGCAATACACGCGCTCATCAATTCATGCAGTGAGATTATTTCCAGTGATACCCCAACACCTAGTTTTTCATAGACTAGAAATTGAGTGATATGATATTAACAGGAGTAAATAATAATAGATTCTCTATTATTATTCACTCCTGATATTAATACGAGGCTTTGCACCACCGTCGTCTGATCTTTGCTTTACACTCGACTTGTGGACAGATGATGTATATTTTGAAATTCAGTATGTAAATAAAATGATATAAGTTCTAATTACACAACTAATAGTTAACTGATAATTAATCACGATTTTCCAATATTGCACCACACTGCAGCAATACGAAAGCTGTAAGATATTTAGGTACTCTTTTCCAGAAAAAGAGTTCATAAAGACAATCCAAATACATTACATAGTATTTATGTGGATACAGTAACTAAAAGAATTGATCGGGTTAACAAGATTTTGAATTAGTCGCCACGATACAATCTTTTTCGCTGGCACACACTTACAAAATAAAAGTAGTTGAGAAGCTAGATCGACATTCATGATTCATGTTCATGTGAATACATTGCTACTGAATTGTTTTGCAAAACACAAGGTTCGCAGTAATTTTTTGGGTCAATCTTTATGTCGCTTATGAACGCCAGCATTTGAAATAATATTGAAAAGACTACAGAGTTTGTCGTTTAAAGATGCTGTAATTCACACAGCTATGAACACTGCAGATTCGCGCCACTCACTCTTACCACACGGTAGCAGACCATAGCAAAATTGCTACAAATTTGCCGTTTAAAGATGCCATAATTCACACAACTATGAACACTAGATTCGCGCCACTCACTATTACCAGGCCATAGCAAAATTGCTACAAATGAGTGTACTGCAACTACGATGACTGTATCGACCAGGGAAGGATATTGGTTAACACATATGCACATACATAGCAATTTCAACCACCTTCTTCAAAATGTTTTGTCATTAGCACACGTAGCTACCCAGTCATTAACACGTGGTAATATCATTGCCAACAGCTAATCAGATTTAAATTGAACTGGAAACATCTGCATGCAAAAGCTCACGTAGCTCCTTGAATTCTAATTGTTTACACATGGTAATAAAATTGTATATTATTTTATATAAAAAGACAAATATACAAATGTTCAAGAATCAGTCACCTAAATTGGACACCATTCCGGTAATACGATTCCATCATGATTGTAGCTTGTCAGAAACATTGCCATTCTCACAGCCATTGCCACAGTCTATCAGGTCACTCGGCGGGTGACAGGTGACAAGCGTGACAGATGTCGAAGTTTACATAATCATACTTATAACAGACCAGACTGAGAATGACGGGCCGCCCGAGTCCGGGCCTGCACCACAAATGTGACTACGGCACTGTCGCGACAGCGTCAGTGACATGATTGACACATCCGTCATCTATGTCGCGTCGCGTGACGATATCGTGAGTCAAAATTCCACGTTGCGCATGCGTGGCATAGGTCGCACAAAAATTATAAGCCCTAGATTTTTATGCGTTCATATATCAAACCAAAGTCCAAACGTGAAATGGGAGTTACGCGATTTACATTTCAGTTAAACTTGACAACGCAAACACAAGGGTTTACAGGTAATATAGAAATAAATCTCTGCTCCAAATGATAACCGAGCACGCAGCTTTTTGGTTACGTCGATATGTCTTGAATTTATTGTTTGGAAGTGTGTGTGTGTGTGTGTGTGTGTGTGTGTGTGTGTGTGTGTGTGTGTGTGTGCGCGCGCTCTATATTAGAGAGAAACCTGAACTCTCCACTAAATCCAGCGGGACTTGTCCATTTAGAGCAGGAGCAAGAGAAGCAGGAGGAAGAGTAAGGCTATTTCTCCCTCTCTCGGCTTTTCTTTTCCCGTATGTTCTCTACCCTCTTTACCACGGCACGATTACTCATTTATCTGGCCCTATATCACCCTTTATACTTTATGTCCTGCTGTCTTTATCGTTTATCTGACTCTCTCGATCGGTCTCCCTTCCCCTCTTTCTCATCATAAGACATCATCGCTCCGTCTAAAATATAATATAATTATATTATATCTATGGTATGGTATGGTAAAATAATAATCAGAGAGTATAAAGCCCTAGCTAGGCTACCTCACATACAATGATGTACTACTTCTCACGTTTTACACTCTGTACTGGTAGAAATAACAATAAAACATGTTATTGGCTTATTGCCCAGTAGGTGGCGCGATGTCACACAAACTGGCAACTGGCAAGTCGTGGTAGATCTTTGGTTTCTCTGCTGTTTTCGGTAAGCCTGTGCGCAAAGTAAACATATATTTTATAGTTTTACATCATTGTTGTGATACACATTGGAGGAATATGTATACCATTGTATGATACGTTTACATATTTTCATCGAAATTTGTTCCAGAACAGAAAACGCGTTCTCCTTGCAAAGACTTGGCAGGAATTTACGCTGTATACATGTATCGAATGTACGAGTGATCCTCGATGTATGAGTACCCACTACCCTGTGACATGTCAATGATGGTTATCGAACTGTCGTTGGCTGTTGATTCAGGTAAGCCTAAGGCTATGTATCCATGCAGGTAATCCAGAGAGACCGGGTACAAGATGGCGTTGCGCAAAAGATGCGTTGTTCCCCGACCGCCGAGAGCGGTTAAGCCGCGCACTTCCGCGGGACTGGGCGCACGCGACCGCAGGGTGTTGTATGTAGCATCTCGCGCTGCCCGCTATACGAATTCGCGCGCCGAAGGAGGGCGGGCGCGCGAATCCGTATAGCGGGAAGCGTAACATCGCGCAGTTTTCGTCAGACGTACACCGCTTGACTACGGCGGCCTTGGGGCGGAGGGGCAGCAGGGGCCAGTATACGTAGGATTAGCTACGTGTAAACACTGGCACGGTCACGCCAGCACGTGCTCGCACGACGTGTCGTCGCCACGGGCAGCGCGGGGTCAGGAGGTTGGTAAAAACATGCCACGTACGCAGCCAGGGGCGCCGCGGCGGCGGCGGTTTTGGAGATAGCATCTAGACCGCGCCAGCCCACGTGGAGCACCGTACGCGTCTTCGTTAAAACCTGTGTGATAGACGGGACGCTATATTCGGCAGTAGCCCACATCATCGCGTAGCGGCGAATGAGCGAGCGCGTGGTCGCTGAGTGACAGCATTTCTTAGGGTTTCTTGTAGGAGCTACTACGCATTACCCGTGAGGCGCGCCACCCCCAAAAATGTCTAGGGGCCGTTTGGAGATGGCCTCTAGCTGTCGATCGCGAAATTTCGGTTGGATTCTGCCCCATTTTTGCGCAGTTTGTTTTCAGACCCCTGTCTAACATATCTATCTAAGTGGACAAAAAGGGGGCGGCGTATTTGCTGTGGGGGCCCGTCTTCGCCGCGCGCTGTGCGCTGCGCGCAATAACGGGGGCCGCATGTTTGTCTAGTGACTCAGAGTGGTGATCATTGATGTTATTACTATTAGTCACGTAGGCCTATTATCTTTCTGCTAGAGCTTGAATTTGAGAAATCTGATGTCAGTAGGTGAAAATTGTTTGGAGCATATAATTATACCATAGTACTAGTACGGTAGGCCTAGTAGTATTATGCCAAATATTATTATTATTAATATTATGTATATAGCCACACGCCGCGCAAGTCTTTGCCATCCAGCCACACGCGTACGTGTGTCTATAGGGACTCCAATGTGGAGCGAATACAACCACACCAATTTAAATTATTAGCAATGATGCGTCAAATGTACATTTAAATTTTCATTAGTGAATAGTGTCTGTTTTTACTCAGAATGTGGGAAATATTTACCAGTAAATGTCTTGCGATCTTGTTCAGATGCTGAAGATTTAAGACTTATGTATTTATCTGTTTCAATTCAAACGTCCAAATTACGAGTGCAGTGCAGTGTCTCTGTCCCATACGCGACTCTTTCCGGATTCCGTAGCCGGTGTATACGCATGGTTACATTGGTACGTGCATGCATGTCCTGTACTTGTACGTGTATATGTGTGTACAATGTACTCCGCCTCCATCCAGCTACTTGTGTTTGCGCGCAATATGAATATTTGTAATGACACACGCGTGTGGCTGCAGTTATCTGAAGGTTAATTCATCACTGCCATGGGTGCGACTTGACTTGTTTTCATAAAAGTTCATTGTTTATGTCGGCTAATGTTGATTAGTCATAAATTGAACAATACTCACGAGCATATATCAAACTTCTAACACACTTTCACTATTCTTTCCAGTCGCATAACAGGAAGGAAAGCAGATTTTCTAGCTGCCGAGGAATGCCCAATACGTCTAGTGATGCTTGACGTTGAGATGGCGCCGACACCGGCAGGTACAACCTGCGAAAATGGAAAGGCCCCTAATCCTGAGCGCCGGGATTCTCGTCAGGAGAGTTCCCGCGCCGAAACTCTGCTCATCCTGGATGCGTTCCTCAGACGTTCGCTCAGCAGCAATGACACGTCTCCCCTGCGCTGTTTCTACGAGAACGACTTCCCAACAATCGCGGAATTTGTCGGCAACGAGAAAGCTAAATCCGCACCAGCCACTACACTGTCTGAAGCAGGACAGGATAAAAATGGAGTTAGTGCAGCTGAGATTTCTAACGGAACCGCGCCGACGAAACGAAGTACTTCTCCCGTGAAAAGACGCGACATAGCCGCTCAAATGCGCCGCACTGCCATTCGGCCACGCAGCTACTCGGAGGCCGTGCGCTGCCTGGCGCCACCTACCGGTAAGCGTTGTCAGAGTCTCGACTCGAAGCTGCCGTACAGCGTGAACGTGGCTGCCGACTCCCCGTCAAAGTCGAGCAAGAAGTGGCCTCTCACGGCGTTGTTCCAGCAGATACGGTTCGGAAGGAAGCTGCGTAAGATGGAATCTCGCGAGAAGAACGCGCTGAAGAAGAGCCGCAGCCTCCCGTCCGCACCTGGTGCCGTTTTGCTGTCAGGTATGCACACCCTCGGGACAACTCTTTGGGGAACGGCAATGGGCATCTTATCTGAAGCATAGGCTCATTGTACGTTGAAGCATTGACATATACAGTATATGTCATATATACAGTACTGTAGTGTATATGAAATGCATGCATAATATAACACGTGCGAGTGTGTTATATCGTGTGGGTGCAGTGAGCTATCAGTTACTGTAGAGGGAAAGTTACATCCATATTGTTGAAATAGACTACATGTACAGTAACATTTAAAATAACTCCAAGTAACTCCACAATTCACAATAACCAATAACGCACTCCATTCAATAACCAATAATCTCCAATAACTCACAGTACAGGTAACTTATCCAATGCACTGTCCCTAAGTTATACAGTAGGTAGGTTCAGTTCCATGACTCCCACCTCTCTGGAAATGACTGTCATTACATAGTTATATCCAGGTGCATACCTGTATGTTCCGATTTGTACGTATTTCCTACTTGCTGCTTCCATGTTCATTACCGAGCTAGTTGTACATTCCACACTTGTTCACTCTAATGAATCCACCCTATCTGTGCATGCAGTCACGTGTATGTGCCCAATACCCTACTGGTTGATACCTGGCCGTGTTTGCATGTGTGCCTGCAAGTGACGTGCTATATTTCATCTTGCACAGATGCATCAGATGCAAGCATGGGGAATGGAGCAAAAGGTGGCATGGCCCAGCACGCACGCATGGTGCCAAGCAGCATGGCAATGGGGGAGGAGGTGGCACAGGGCACCCCCACACATAAAGGATTATCGGACACCTCTCCGTCGACTAGCATCAGTGATGAAGAAGCTGAGACCAATGCTTCAAATGTAATAGTTTCATGCGTTTCTTTTTGTCAAATTGTTGTGTTATTATAAATATAGCAATAAATTGGGAAAAGTGCCAAAAGACCAGCACCTGCTGTTAGGGATAACACATTACGTAAATAAGCTGTAGTGTCAGTTCAGGCTTGTTTTTCTATAATTCCACTGATTTCATCGTCTGATATAGTCCGATGGCCCTTGTAAAATGTGGCTAGCATCTGTCCATATGTTTGCATGTCAACTATGTAAGCAGATATCTGACTGGCTTTATCCACACTATTTCTTTTGAAATATACAGCGTAAGAAGAAGAGTATGCTGAGTCGTCTGAAGTCCTCATTTTCGCTGGGCATGCGTGATAGCAATCTCAGTAAGTCTGCACCTGATGAGAAAGGCAAGCGCAAGTTTTCATTCTACTCCTTCACTAGCAAGGCAAAGAAATCGTATCAGAAGGAGGAGGAAGAAGAGGAACGGGCGGCGGTGAAAGAGAGTGAGTTATTATTCTTGACGATGATTTGGATCACTAATTCGGGATATAAATCTACACAGGTCAGCCATACCAGATTATAATATAGAAGCCATACTAGGTATCTGGCTATCATATAATGCATATGTCTTACCTGAAATAGATCAAATGTGATCATATACCAATACTAAGAGTGAAACAACCAATCAGATAGTTGGTGAAATCATAACTTGAATGTTTATCTATAGAGCGACGATTGGCACCAGCTCTCCCAGAGACTGGTGGAGCTGCTCCATCTGTAATACCTGATGTAGAATCTGATGACGAGCTGGTGGTTGCAGATGGCAGCAGCAGGCGTGCTTCTGATCACGTAGATCGCACATCGGAGAGTGCGCGCAGTTGTGGGTGTCCTATTTCTAAATCCTTAGTGTGACTTGTTTTGCACGCTGAACTTCACTTTTAATTTCATGATATAACGGGCTTTACAATGATGTTGGGTTATTGTTGAATTAATGTTTTTTTAATACATTCATCGAGAACTCATTGTCTAGAAATCCGACAAATCTCACCGATGTCACGTATTCGGTTCGACAATTTCTATCACATCGCCTGCACATGTTACATAATAAATGTAAAAATTTGTTTTACAGCCACCCCTGCCAGCAACGACAGATTGGCACCGCCTGGCACGCCGACAAGACCGGCTGGTTTTAAAGATGTTCTTGAGCGGGTAGATAGCACAAAGGGCCTGGATTGCATCTTGCTGGATGACGATGGCCTGGATCCATCTATCAGACGTGAACGGAGAGTATCGATGTCGTCATTGTCTGCTGTGGACCCCGATCGGCTGGTAACCATTAGTTGTCTCTCGTCCACAGCAACCCGTACCTCCTCCTTAAGCACTCGAAAGCTTGCCTTGCTTCTACAACCAGTTAGCTGGCCGAACCAACTGGGGCACTCATGTGGTGGTAGTTTGAACTCTGCTGCAGTACAGTGCCATGTACAAAGGAGCTTGCACTGCAATTGTGTCGTGTAATGGTGGGAGAGTTGGTGTTAAAGTTCTCGTGTGCAACGCAATGTGTTAATATCAAGCCAATCGACCGTCAGCTGATAATAAAGCTTCAGCGATATACAGTAGGAGGAGGCTACATGTTTGTAGAGATTGTAGCACAGCTCTGTTTGCTGCTTATATTGCTTCACATATAGTTTCTGTTTTTGAATATAAGTGACCCGAATTGAATCTCCATTCGTATAAGTTGAATTTCAATATGTTAAAGGCAATTGTTCTTGAAGAAGGTACTCTAATGCCCCATATGTAATAGGTGACATTTTTTCTGTTCTAGGTTGGTAGTCCGACCCCATCCGAGCCAATAGCAGTTCCTTCATCACTGCATCCACCACGAGTGTTCACTCAGAAGGTGTCACCAGTTTACGCGGACAGTTACCCATTCTATGAACAGACGCCAGAGGAGAAATGTGAGATTGCTGCCAAAATAGCAGCAAAGCTGGAACAACTATGCATGCGGCAGGTGTGATGTACTTCCCATATACATACTATCAAGAGCGTATAAAGAAGCTTCTTTATACGCTCTTGATAATATATATATATATATATATATATATATATTTCTCGATCTGTTTGTATCCATGTCTGTCCATCTTTGTATTAATTCATCAGTCAATTAAGCAGATAATCAGCTGGTTGATTGGCCAACTGGTCAAGCGATTACTCGGTTAGTCTGTCTGGTAGTCTCTTGAACTGTATATGTGTTTGTGTGTCTGTCTGTCCGTCCGTCCATCCGTCCGTCCGTCTCTCCGCGTGTCTGTGTGCACATATCTATCTCCTCTATGTACGTAACATATCTGTTTATAGCGTAACTTATAGCTATAACGTTGTGATAACTTGGCTTAGATAAAATTACCCATACATCATTTGTAAATTTCTTTTTTTACTCAAAGATACGAAACGAAAATAGGCGCTTATGTATTGTTTAAAGGAACAAATGGAGTTGTCTACCCTAAAACTGTCTTCATTGTGTTACGTCATCAAGTAGTCAATCTGTATCTCTTTGACAATGTTTAGTTGCACTCACAACTGTGCATTCACAATCAGTACCCAGCATTCAGTGTACTCCAGATACAAGATGCTGATTCTTAATTTGAACTCCTTTCCCCATATTGCAACATTAAATAATCAAAATATGTATTTTCACAAATGTTTACTTGCATTTATGATTGTTCTTTTATAAGGGGAGATCTGGTTGTGTGTGTAGGGGGGGGGGGGTTACCTACTTCTCTTGGCTGAAAACCTTTTGCAGGAATGCAGATATATAATGGAAATAGATAGGAAGTGATACGCTTTACGGACTTTTGCACTTAAAACGATTTTTCGGAAATACATGACTTTCGTAACTTGATGGATAATAGTGTGATGGGCATTGACATTTCTATGTCGAGGTTGACGTGGTGAACTGAATAACAGGTGTGGTTGTTCATATTACGTTGCTTCATGTGATAGTGTGTGACTACATTTTTTCAATCCAGGAGACCCATGGGGCGATGTCACCGCGATCTAGCCGAGAAATGGACATGTACCAGCGCATTATGGAGCAGCTGAAGTCCAACACGATGTCAACACAAGACACGCGGGAGACTCGCAGCGACAGTTTCCGTGACTGTAAGTTAACTGAGCTATTTCTTAGCACTCGGCCTCCTACGTAATATGCGGTAAGAGTCTGATAACAAGCACTTCTTTGAAGCAGCTGTGCGCGAGCAATTTTCCGAGACGCCCGTGTGCGTTTCCGTGTGTGCGTGTATGCATCTATGCATATGCCTGCGTGTGTTTGCTCACGCTGGGATGTGGGTCGATGTGCACTGCCTCTGTTGTAATTCAGGAGACTGTAAAATCAAGTAATAAATGTTCTTGTATTGTGTATATTATATTGATAATTAAATACCTAATGTGCATAAATTACAACAGTTATGTTGCATTATTTTGCAATACTGCACCATTGCATAATTTCAAACAGTTATCAAGTTCAATTTATTTATTTAGAGCTAGACAAGTTTAAAAAAGAGTTTATGTTTATATGCATGCATGCATGTGCGTGTGTGCGTGCGTGCGTGCGTGCGTGCATCTGCATGTTTGCATATATGTGACCAAAGAAATAGTATAATCAGATCTGTTCACCTTTCAGGTGGGGGGACGGATGGACCTAGTTCATTAGAAAAAGAAATATGTGACCAAATTAACTTGAATATAGAAGCCGTGTCCACTGATAGACTATCGGTAAGGCATATACTGTTCATCTCAAGTTATTCTTGTTCTGTATATGTTTTATTATGGTGAATATTTATTGGGGGATGCAAGGTAGGGCTAATGTCATTTAGCTTCTTTGTTTTGTTCTTTATATTAACTTTAATTCCTAATTCTTCAATTATCAATACAAAATTCTATTCCTATTATATATTTTCTATTGTTTATTCACCACTCGTATTTATGTGTGTGCATTCATGTGTGCGCTTGTGTAGTATAATCAATAAATAATAAGTTTAATGATTAAAAACGTTGATGTATCAATTTAAATACAATCAATCCTCTGGATTTTTTTTTCAACAGAAAGTCATTCAACCTCGTGCAATCTTAGATCTGATTAGCAACGATTCATATGTCCAGTTCTCCCAGACAGCAGATGATCAGGTAGGCTTGTACATGGTATCGCAGACACAGCGAATGTATTCTTCTACTTCTAGTTACCCTCATTGATGTCCTTGCCTTTGCCTGCTCTTCCCTTCCTGCTCTGTACGTATTTATAATTAACTTTCTTTTACCTCTTTCTCATATGCTATCTATCTGGCTCTATAACTGTTCCCCACTCTGCCTTCTATTCATAAGTTATAAAAAAGGAGTTTGACTTGAGGAAAAAATGAATTCCCAGCCAAAATTTTAGATACTTTCATTTATAATTAGAAGACACTGTTATTGCATTCATGATCTTAGGAATATTTATTTAGTTAAAATCTATATGGCAGGCTTTGCATTATCAGACCTAGTTACACGACTGCATAGCTATACCCGTGGCATGTAGATCTTATTCTCAGACTGTCCTCTCCCTAAAACATTCAGTGTGTATTTTATAGTATATTATTGTTTTTTAGTCAAGGTATACTACGTTATATTGAAGAACCTGTTCAATGACTCCTGTGTCTGTTACTTCCAGGCCATGGATAGTAGACATCAGGACCGACTGACACAGCTGGCGCTAGTGTTCGGTCTCACCAAACTCGCCCTGCTTGCTGTAGGAATCGGTTCGACAGCAGCCAAGCAGATGAAGTCATACTTTACACAGTACATACAGGACAAGTTTGCCGAAATCGTAGTGGGCCCCGAAGGTTGGGTAAGTGTGCGTCGTTTAGTGTGATGCTAGTCAATAAATTAACACTCACATGAAGGATTCACAACAGGGCATTGAGTCTTTTATTGTTAACATACTCTTGTTACTCTTTCTGCTTTTTTAGCTCATCTGACATAGTCAGATGCAGCTTGTAGAATCGCATGAGCGTGCGTGCGTGCGTCCGTCTGTCCGTCAACAGTTGGGCACAAATCTAAACGGCTCGACGTACGGTCACGATATTCGGGACGTGGGGGGGGGTAATCCGAAAACGAGTTGGGATGTCGAAGCTGGGGGTCAAAAGTCAAAGGTCAAGAGGTGTAAAAGAAGGGGGGGAAATGCAGAATTGCGGCACAAATCTAAACGGCTCGACTAGGCTCGTGATAAGTCGTGATTATAGCATCATGGTAGAAAAGCATACTGCTGCGCGAAATTGGAAGTCACAGTCAAGGTCAATGGGGCACAGGGGCAGATTTTAACATTTTCTGAGGACAATGCGGTCTGACGGGAGCGATTGCAAAAACTTTTTTGTTTCACGCGGTGACCTAGCGCATTTTATGGCTTTATTGAAAGGAGCCATTGAAATGTACTTCTGCTACATGCATAGAGTAATGTGTCGGGATTAACCTTTTGACCTCGCAGAGGAGGGTTAAACATTGGATTTGTTTGGCGGCCTACTGGTTAGAAAGAATGTTGTGACTGCCGGTTGCGTAGGTAGAATGCTACTACATGCCTGATGTAATGAGGCTACAATTTCAGCAAGTGCAATTTCAAAAGCCTAATTTAGGTGAAGAAGGCTTTATGATCCTTAAATCATATAATTTCTATGGCATTCTGCTACTGTCAGTGCGTTACATGTAACTTAGATTATGCTCACTCGCAGTGCACGCTGGTGTGGATAGTATCGGTGTCTTTTTTGCCTGCGTTAATTAGTACAGGTGGCCAGCTCTTCTATTTCAGGCTGTAGGCTTGCCGTAGCAGTACATGGATGAGTGGCTTCACAATTTGTCCATTCTGCAAATAGTTGTGCCTATACTACGTAGCGATGGGTGCTTCCATCTTTAACTCTTAAGAACATTCAAAGCGTACGTGCATCTCGTGGCAACTTCATAAACTGTCCCGCAACGAAGCATTTCTTCGAGAAGGTGTCCTGATCACCAATCCAGTGTCGAAATAAGGGCTATCCGTTTGTTCCGCTACTCTGTCCATATTCCACGGAGAGACCAAGTAGATCTCTCTCCGTAGCTTGTCGCGCGCGACAAGCAAGCTTTTAGCAGCAATTTTTCATCTAATTTTCCTACCGTCGCTGGCCGGCATGGTCTGGGAACCCGAGTACATAGTATAAACATTTATGTCAAAGTTATATAACAAGTGCCGCCATAGCCGACAGCGCTCATCTAACGTCTACTGGGTGACTCTGTGGTGCGAGTGTGGGCATTCTAGTAAACGCTGTTAGTCCCAAATGGTTCACATACCACGCCGAGAACAGTGGAATGCACAAGGATGTATCAGAGAGCTCTCAAAAGAAGTTCGTTGGATCGTATGAAAGTTGCCACGAGATGGCGGGTACGTTAAGTGTCTTGTAGATTAAAGAGTGGCAAGCTCCCATCATACGTGCGTAGCAACACCACTATTGCAAGACACGAATAGCGTAAGCATCATCCAATTTACTACGCAAGGGCCTACGGCTGCGGCAATAGAGAGCTGAGCGCACCTGTAGCCAAATTAAGGCAAAAACTCCACAGGTACACAACACAATGGCACTGCAGGTTAGCCACTTGGCAGTGCATAACGTTACATGTATACATACTACACATACAAATGGCCATATAATTCATACGATTCTAAAGGAGCATTAAACATTCTTTAACAACATTTAGGCTTTCGAGACCATTTCACTTGTGATCATTGTAGCCCTCATACATCCAGCATGTTATACGATTCTACTAGCAAACGCCGGCAGTCAAATTCTTTCTAACAGACAGTCACAAATCCAAGGTTTAACGCTCTCTTGAGGGTCCAAAAGTGTGTATCTGACACTTACTCTTCGCATTGTCACGGCTAGAAAGTAGATTTCATGTCCTTTTCACATGTCATAAAAATGTTAGGTCACGCTGACAAAAAAGTTTCCCAATTGCTCCGCAGACATCCTGTTTCCTCAGAAAAATGTCTATCAAATCCAAGTTTCTGCCTACTGCCTGTCCCATTTGACCTGTTGACTGTGCCAATTTTCGGCAGCAGTGATGCTTTCCTACCATGATGCGATACCCACTATCACGAGCCCTAGTCGAGTTCGTTTAGATTTGGCCGCAATTCTGCATTCCCTGCTCCCTATACGCTTAGT